CGGGGGGAGGGGACTGGGTGGAGGGCAAACAGGGGAGGGGGGGTAATCGGGGGGGGGGGGGGGTAAACGGGGGGAGGAGGGTGGTAAACTGGGGTAGGGGAGGGGGGTTTGTGGTAAAAAATACAAAAAAAAACAGTAAAATGAAGTGTTAAACTGCGATGGAAAAAAAGTAGAGACAAAAAATGTATACATTTTATTCTGAAGAGTAACATTTTATGAAACGTAATACGTAGCAGCTGCACTAAGCAAAAAATGAGATAACTTCGACGAAAATTGTAAATTTCATGAATAACCCCTCGGAAAAATCCATTATATTAGATTGTAATCGATTATAATCGATTTTATTGGCATAAAAAATATGAGTTTAATAATCCATTTTTAATGGATTATGGTCGATTATTATGGATTATTTTGACATAAAAAATATAAGGATTATAATCCACTTTTAATGGATGATAATTGATTATTTTGTCATTTTTTACATGTTGACTATATTATGACAATATAATCGATTATGATCCAGGGGCGCTCGGTGCGAAGGTTAGTGTGGCTGAGCGAGATTTTGTTTGTTATTATAGTGAGAAATTCTCATTTTGTGCAGAACATGGTCTAAAACTTTAAAAAGTCGATCAAATTTTTGTGCAGGAAGAAGGCAAAGTAACGAAAAAAAGAACAAAACTTCCTTCTTTAGATGTTTATCTTCAAATAATCGCATTTTTTTTGTTAAACAGCTTTTCATTTTTTACAGTGCCCATGAGCAACCATTTTTGCTTTATGTGAATTTTACACTACGGCAAGTCAATATTTCATAAGTGTAATCAAAATAAAATGAGAGTGCATTTATAGGAAAAACATTTTTTCACCTAAGAAAGGTAGCGATCTTGAAATGGCCATTACAAAAACGTCAACTAAAAAACTCCTCCTCTCTCAACTTGTTTCATACTATGGCAAAACCCTTGATTTATTTTTTGTTTCCTTTTTTCCAATTTCACATAAAAATTGAAATTTTCGTTGTGACTTCCGTGTGAAACATCGACAAACAATTACATTTCAGAAACTATTATATTCATGCGTCAAGCGAACTTTTGACAAAGAAAAAATCAATTTCGGCAGAATTTTTCAGGGTGTTCTCTGAATTCAAGTCACAATACAATTTTGACGCTTTTTCCTAAAACTATGTGTGTCAAAGAAACACCAGATTAGATAAAAGCGTGAAGCAACTCTGGTTATCTAAACGGATAACAAAAACAATCGTGAAACAAGACTGCTCGTTTATCAAGGGAAAACCCTGATTATTCCGACTGTCCCTTAATTCATATCGAATAGTATTTGGGATAAAAAAATTTGAAAACTATAACCTTTGGACAACATCAAAGTGTAAAATTTTGAGTCGTACGACTTTAATAGAACCGATTAGCTAGCCTCAATTCACTTTGGAACGATTTTATTGTGCTGGATAAATCGCCACGCACGAAAAATTTGCTTTGCGCTCCCAGCATTATGAATATTTCACTAAATCGCGCTTACTTCAGTCCAGAACTTGGTTAATTTGGCAATTTTCAAACCCCTAGAACTTTACTAAAAATAATTGGAGGTAAAGTATATTTTTAAATTTGAATTGAAGTCTGTATCTTCAATGGGTTATTAAAAATTTTCTTGAAAACTATCATTTTGATCGGCGAAAATTGTCTGAAAAAAAAACCACAGAGAGCATAAATATTCCATTTTCTTCAGAAGACGGAACAAGGATGAAACAACTTTGCACAAACTTTTAGATTGAACAACTCTCTGAATGCAAAATACACACAGACGTTGTTAACTTGCTTTAAATATTCGCTTGAGTTGACTTTATTTATATCATCTAAATCACAACTGTTTACCGTTTAACGCGCAAGATTATTTGTATCAGAGCCTAATCCTGGATGCTCCGACCTGAAGTAACCAAAAAAAGTTTTGATGAAAAGATGCAAAAGGTTCAAAATAAATAGATTTTTTAATTAGTTTTTTGATATTCCATATTGCGCAATGAAGACGTATAGAATGATAGTCTCCGCAACTACTATTGCACTATTATAATCAAAAAATTAGGAAAAAGTTTTTATAGTTTGCTGCCGACTTGCGAAAATTGCAAATCAAGAACGAAAAATGACTAAAAAGGCATTTTACAACTCTTGAAAATTCATCAAAAAATGAATTTCAAATGAATGGTCTGTGCAATTCTGAGCCCAAGAAAAAAAAATTCTTTCAAGTTGTAGAGAAAAAAGGTCAAAAAATTTTATCTAAAAGGTCAAAACTTTTCAGAGGGTCTCTACATCTCTAATTAAAGCTCAAGATAAGTCGTTTTACATCAGTTAGCAACAAAACAATTCGAGCCTTTTGAGACGTCTATTAAATGGAACAGAAGACTGCTCAAATCAGGGCGAACTGAATTTTAGCGTCTATGGAGCAGTAAAAACAAGAAAAAATTGAAAAAATTAAATGTAATACATAAATAGAATTTTTTTAAATTGGAGAGTTCTCGAAACAATTATCCCCCACAGGCCATATAATATAGGAAATGATTGGTTTCGCTCATAATAACGTATCAGTTATGGCAAATAAGCTTCCTTCCACCAAATTGGAACGATTTCTAAAACGGATTAAATCTGCGCTTATTCGTTAATAGCGCGAAACGTATCGCGCGTTTATTGTCCAAAATTAGCCAAAATGGCAATTTTTAAACTCCCATTGCTCTACGAAAAGTGATAACAGTTGAAATATCTTTTCGAATTTAAGCTCAGGACAACAATACCTTTTGAAAATAAAAAAGTTTTGTCAAAATGTTTGGTTAAAAAGTCGAAATTTTTTGAAGAAAAGAACCAACCACGAACACAAATATTCTGTTACTTTGGTTACGAAAATTGGAACAACAAGGAAAGTCATTTGCTGGGCAAAGAGCACAGAATGTTACGAACTTAATCATAAAAAAAAACCTTATTAAATTTGCTCAATTTAGAGTCATTTTTAGTGGGCGTGCGTGTGATTCAAAAACTAAAACATCGCGTAGAAAATAAGTGATTTAGGCATGATTAATATCATTTCTCTTCAAAAAATTAATGAAAAACAAAAAAATAAGCTTAATTTTTTGGCCGAAAAATTTTCAATTTTTTCTAGAAAACATTTTTTTGCCAAATAACTGCTAAAGGAAACATCCAAAATTTTTTGTAAGTTAAATCATTTTTTCAATCCCTGAAAAGAGTAAACTTCCATATAAAGAGCGTTACTTGCTCAAAACTAGACTAAACCTCAAAGTTTTATATCAGTCTCTCACTCCACAGTGGGATACTTTTGAATTTTTTTTAATTTTCGTTCAAATGACAACTGAAAGGACTTGAATATAATAAATCATTTGAACCATCATCGATTAAGGCATAATTAGTACCAGTAAGCAAAAAAAAATCATTTAGATCCAAAAAGACAAAAAGCTTTAAATTTTCACGCAACAAATACACGCAAAATTTTATAACATTTTTTTTTTGCAATTAACCATTTTGAATGTGTAATACTTGATTTCTATTGACCTCAAACCATAGTTCTAGACATTCCAAGCATGAAATACAACACAGCTCTAAGCTCACTGAAATAATTGCTTTGAACTGGCTCTGAAAAACGAATCGGCTCTTTTCCTTTTCCCAGGTAACGAATGGTTTTACAAGGTTGATTATGAAGACTAGATGTTTGTCATGGCCTAATTAATGTGCATGTCAACTTTCATGACAATCGTTCAATGTGAACAGTAATTTTACCTATAAAAACTTGCAGGTGGGGGGGGAGGAAAAAGGAGTGCAGCCAGTATTTAGACAGCCGCGTATTCATACTCGTCAGTATTTAGACAAATACTGTTATGAACCAATCAGAATCTAGAAAAGACATAAATAATCCAAAATAAATAATAGTTATTTATTAATTTTTTCTTTGTCTCGATTCTGATTGGTTGAAACAGTATTTGTCTAAATACTGACCAGTCTGAATACGCGGTTGTCTAAATACTGATATGTAACCGAGGAAAAAGAACCAAAAAATCAAACAGTAGAAGTCGAAGAGCATGTATTAAAATATGTGAGAAAATTATAGACAAAGTTTTAACAGGAAAAAGTCGAGTTCCCGTTAATAAAACACTTATAATAGCAAGTTATCAATCTGAGCTGGAAGCAGGAGATTCTAAGAGCAATTTCAAATGATGGAACAGTAAAAGGTTTAATTTTTATATCAGTGTTAAGCAACTTAACACAGACCGTCAAAACATAAAATTATCTTAAACTAATTTAATCAGTTTGCCAAAACTCAATCGCAGAGAATTGTATCACTTTTTGTTTGAGATCAAAACTACTCAAGATTCGTTGACTTGAGACGAAACGCGTGATGTTTGAAGACAGTGATAGCTTTTTAAATCTTTTTTCAACCTTGATTTAGATGACGAAATTTGTTGCCGAGTTTTATTTCGTAAGTTTAGCTAGTTTGATCTGCAGTACGTATTTAATGCATATTTCTTCTCCGATTTCCAAAAACATTTTCCACTCTATAATACAATCACATTTGATAAAAAATTATCTAAGAACGAAGCAGATGTTACTTAGCTAAAAACATTCTGAGATTTCAGAAAATGTTTTCTACTAAATCTACCCATCACTTGGATAAATTATGAAAACTATTAATGCCACCCTTTTGTAGGTTTCTTCAGTTAATTTAATTATTTACAGAATTTGAGCGCATAGGTCTCCGAAAAAATATTGATTGCCGCTATATGCCCAATTTCGAAACAAATTTACGTTTTTTTCTTCTTTGCATTCGCTGATAGCTAATACAAAAAAACTTGGCATACAGCAGTCGGAAAAAAAGATCCATGGTTATAATACTTTTGATTAAAAACGATCTATAAAAAGTGAGTAGCTTTGAGAAACACTTGGAAAAAAATCAAAAACAAAATCGATATCAATCTAAAGTGACAATCAAGGATCATCTTGAAATATTACATTGAATTCACTTATAAAGAAATTACATATACCTGTATGCGAAATGTATGCAACATATTTAACAGTAGAAAGCAAACTAACTTTTTCAGTTTTTGATGAACAGAAACTAATTTTCATTCAAGCTCGACTACTATCATTTATACAGGCGCTGCTTCTAATACATGCAGCTGCGGTTCCAAAATCTCAATGAGTGATTTGTAGAAATTGATTTGTTCTTCCAGTGCCGTTTTCATCATACTTTTGTAATGCGACGGCGTGTTAACTTGAATATGATTAATTTCGGAGATCGTAGCTGCTTGAACTTTCGTAAGTCGCCCTATGGCACCTTCGTCGTTGGCGTTTGATTTATTCGAACAAGTCTCAGCAGCCAACGAGTTCAGCTTATGCATCGAAGGTATATGCTCAATGCATTCGGTTTGAATCCACAAGGAGTTTTCAACAACCGAAAAATCCTTGTCAGTTTGGTTGTCATACATTTCAGAAATTTTCTGGTAAGCCATTCCAATGCTTTCAAAAGCATTTCCAAGAGCGCTCATGTCTGGAAAGTAAATCAAATCGCTGTAGTTTCCGCCGAGACCTTTCTTGAAAAACCCACCAAGAGTCCAGACACTTTTTCCGAACGTTTTGAAGTTGACTTTCAAAGGCCCGGAATATGTTTGTGTTAAGCCTTTAGCTGCATTCATCGCTATTCTAGATTGTCTATCAACTTCGTTCGAATATTTCGAATAAGCCTCTAAAGCTGGTAAAACTCTTCGCGAGTTGATGTAGCTGAAATTCGTTTGATCTCCTTCAACTGCCAAGTAAGAGTTCATTCCTCGATACGGATCTTTTTCCGCCTTCCTTTTCCCATTTTTCCATTTTTTCTCATCCTTCTCATTTCCGGTTGAGAAGTGTTGAAAAACTTCACTTTGGCTAATGACCGGATGCGTTGACATACGATTTGCCCACTCTAATAACTTCTTTTCACGGTCATGGATAAATGAGTCATCGTGACCTGTTACTTTAGCGTCGGGCAAATCGGGAATTGCGACCGCTGGGAAGAGCTCTTGTAGACGATGGAGCAACCAGTCGAAATGTTTGTACCTCCTCAAAACTGATCGATTAGTACTTGTCGGTGTCACAGAATAGACTTGGAATTTTTTGATCCCGCCAATTTTTGACCCGTCTTGCCGTTTTCCGAAGTTGATGTTATAGATCTCGGCTTGTGCCCACATAGGCCGACCGTCGTAAAATGCGACTTGAATGAATTTACTCGGCGGATCGTTTGGTAAATGAACGCCTGCAATGTAGTCGGTTAGAGCAGCACCCGAGGTGTTTGTGAACCGTGAGAGGATATTAGCACCTCCTGTTTGTTTTCCCCCCATGGGTCGACGGGCTGTGGAGGAATCTCGACCCCCACCGGCGACTGATTCGTCGTCGTCGCTGTCGAAGTCGTCGTCGTAGCCATACTCATCGTACGCATCGCCCGGTGGGACTTGCTGCTGATGCTGATTCGGTGGGTTGTATGGTTGTATGTAATGGTCGGATGGAGGTAGCACAGCGCTAAAAAAATAATTTAAATCAAATTAGGGTGCAGGCAGGTGTAATAAGTATCAAATGATAATTTTTAACAAAAATCTTTAAAAGTAAAAGACCTCAAAATCAATGACATTATTCTACCAAATTTTGAATTTAGAGTTGAATTTATTTAAAATTGGTCCAAGGAAATCAAGTTAGAAGAAAAAATTTTTACTGTCAAATTTTGAGCTTAAAAAAAATTTAACTGTTTTCTTTTGTTCAGTATTGCTTTCAAAACTGAGGGCAAATCAATGTTTTAGTTGCACACTAACAACTTAAGAGTTGCATTATTGTAAGCAGGGGTGTTCAGTTATCGATATAAGATTATATTGCAGTTTCAAAATAGATTATCGATATTTTTGAGCTGACAAAATAAATAATCTAAATAATCTTTGGAATATTTCGAACAAAAAAAGATTATAATTGAAAATTTTATTTTTCAAACCAAATCGGATACAACTTTAATATCCCAGAGTTGCTTGTTTACAAAAAGGAACAATTGCGCTTCAAGGTTGACAGGCTCGAGTTTTTTACGGTAGTCGTCAAAAATCATTTTTGCTCGACTAAACAACCTTTCGCAAACGTTCGACGTTGCGGGTATCCATTCGAAATGTATCATCTTTTTTGCTTTTTTGATGCAATAATTTCGTCAACATAACTGGTGCTGCTGCTTGAGGTACTCTCTGCTGCTTCATCTTGCTTAACGAACGAGTCAATTTCATAATTCTCAAGAAAAGTGAGATTCTCGCCAGCAATCGTTTTAATGATCGCTTTTTCAAACGCAGGGTTGTGGGTCAGCGTCCCGTCCCATTTCCTGCTCCAAGAAAATGTTCCACTTCTTCGAAATCTTCCATAATTTTGTCAAAAATAATTCCCACATCAAAAAGATTGACTTTTTCACACTGTAACTTTTTTGTCACAGAATCCAGTTTAATCATCGTTTAAAGGATATTCTTTATTTCAATGTCTTCCTGTGGTCCTGGTAAAAGGGGTGCAAGATCTTCATCTTCCTTGTCGATAAATGGTAACAAATCGACATAACGCTGAACCATCGTAAATGTCGATGACCAACGTGTCACATTCCTCAAAACGGGGCGAATTTTCGTTTTTCTTTTCAAAATGGCAGATTTCTTTAGCTGGAGCAAAGCCTTCATAAGAGTCTGAATTTTGACAAATAATTCTTCTTTCGGTGCCAAAACTTTTTTCACTGCCAAATTGAATCGATGGGAAGCACACCCAATAAAAGGTCGGTCTAAAATTTGGGCGAGTTTTTTGTTGACACTTGCATAGTCAACAACAATGAAAACGACATTTTCAATGTCTCTGCCATAGATTTTCAACGTTTCTTCAATAAGGTCGGCATGACTCCTGCTCCCCAAATCAGCTTCATTCAGCAGCGGAGAAAAAGCTAAAAGTACATACTTGGTTTCTTGTCCATTCGTTGGGTCGGGATAGGCGGCAAAAATTCCGACATAATGAGTAGAGCTTGAAGCATCCGACCAGCCATCAAAAACAAGCCCAAATGTTTCCGGCAACTCATCTTTGATTTTTAATTCAACAGTCTTTGTGAGTTCTTGTAAATACTTCATGAAAGTATTTCTGCAAATACTAGAAAGGTTCGAATATTTCCGTTGATACTCGTTTTCCACCAAATTAAAAGGTTCACCATTCATAACAATAAGTTCAAGCCAACCATAAATGTTACGAGCTTTTTCTGGAATTGTAAAGAGACTCAAGCTGGTACTTTGCATATCTGACTTGTAATTAGGGTGCTTGGCAGCAACGTGCGAAAACAGGTTTTGGTATCCTGCACTTGGTGCTTTTTTCCTGGTAACACTGCATCCACCAATTGTGCATTTGTAAATATCGTCTCCCACATGTTTGAAATACCGATCGCAAACTTCCTTAGTTGTAAAAGGCATGGCTGTAAAAGTGAACTGGCAGCACTTGATGCACTCGTTAGTTATGCAAACAATCTGATGGGAAGCTGTAAAAGGCGGGTCTAGGACAACAAGCCGACGGGACTTCAAGCCGAAGGGACTTCAAGCCGAAATTAAAACTTTACAAGCACCTCAAAACACTATTATATCATCTGTAAAACGTTGTTTTTCAAAAATTTTGGCAAGTTTAGTCCATAATAAACGTTATTCATGACAATGCACCACTTGTGATTGGCATCCGTTAATAACATCAGCCGGTTTTTGAAATGCATAAATTATAAACATGAAAAACGAATTCAACCATGTTTTACTTTTCAACTTTCCGAAACATCATTTGGAGGCTTAAATTTCATGAAAACGCCAATAACTTGTGAAGAAATATCATGAAATTCAGAAATTCTTCAAAAAAGTTTTCAAAATAATTATATTTCACGAGTTTATGAGGAACTTTTCGGCCTGAAGTCCCTAATTTTACGATTCGGCTTGAAGTCCCGTCGGCTTGATGTCCGGCACCCGTAAAAGGCAAGTTCTAAAAGGCATGGCTGTAAAAGTGAACTGGCAGCACTTGATGCACTCGTTAGTTATGCAAACAATCTGAAACGACGTTATTTTGGTTGAATGTGTCACTCCTTTCCGTAAATAGGCCCACATTCATTGGCTACGAATCCCAAGACAATAATCGAGGCAACAAGTCACGATTATTGTTAGTCAACAATAGATTATTGTAATGTTTAGCTCCAAAAAATAGATTATCGATTATATTTATTGACAATAATCTTGTATACAATAATCTTTTGAACACCCCTGATTGTAAGCAGCATAAAAAGCAACAGCCATGTAGTTTTATGAAACCAATTGGGATCGAAAACAAAACTCATTCAGAACTTACGGGTTGGGTGCAGGGGCTGGTCGCGATGGTGCGACTGCGGCTTCTAAACAAAAGTAATAATATTATCTCGATCAAAACACATCAAAAAATAAATCAACACAAACCAGAGGAAAACTTTCAGGGCAGCAATAATTGCGCTTTGTTTTTTAATAAAACTCTTCATTTCACACCGAGGCGAATCTAGAACTTCTCGAGAGTGGCCGACCTTTTTTTATTAATTCGACCAAAATGGTTTTGCAATCTTTCCGATTAGAACAGGGCAAAAAAGACAAACTTTGCAATTTTTGGCGTGACTCCAAACCCCCACCCCCCCCCCCCCCCCACTTAAATAGCGCCTCACGAAACACAGATCGTTAAAGAGTACCAAAGATTGGACACTTGGGTGGCGAGGGAGCCGATTAAACATTTCATTTTTATTATTACAAATATAGCCTCACGTTGGAACTGTACATATCCCTCGGGAACCAGTCCTTGCTCGTTGGTGTAGATATTCTCCAGCAGCAGCCACCCCTCCCCCACATTGTTGTTTATAACTCGAAGGGTGTCCCCGTTCCACACATTCAAGTCTTCCTGCTCCTGTTTGGGGAAATCATACAGGGCCACCACTGTGTCCCCAATGTTGTACTGCGCCATGACGTGACGCAAAAGTTACGCAATTGTTATGTAATAAAAGCGCAATGATGATGTAACAATGGCTGATCGTATTTTCAGGTAGATATGTGGCAATGACGCACAATATATGATAACAACTTTCGGCACTTAAATTGAAATATAATATTTTTTGAAGTCTGTATAGATTCACCGACAAATTTTCTAAGTCTTTTTTGTTCTATGGTTTCTTTATACGTTGGTATCAGTAATCAAACTAACACGTACCAATTTACCTACGTACCGCAGAAACTGAAGGTACTCTAAACTTTGGTCATAGAAGAGCTCTACACAGCTATAGTTTAAGTTGCATGAAGAGTATAATGGTTGATTATTAACAAAATTTGATTCAACCAAAAGTCATGCTTTTGCGATGGTGTAAAACAAAAACACAGCAATCAATTTTGGCGATTTTCTGGTTGGCTATTCTTAGCATAAGTCGCTTGATAATAAATTCGAGTTTGGTCTGTTTTGAATTTGGTCCATAAAATGTGTGTTTATACTTTATAAATCAATCTGAGTTATAACCAATGCTTCTTTCAGCAGGCAAGTCAACATTTGCAGACCAAACACAAGGCCTTTGTCAGAAGTTAAACAGAAAACTAAATGGTCAATGGGGACAAAATAAAGAAGTTCTATTTGACGCTCAGACATAAAATTTGCCCTCGAAGTAGATCTAAGAGAAGATTCATAAATCATATATGGGTTTAAGATACCGACAAATTACTTGCTTTGGCAAAATAGAGTGTCGGAAAATAACAAACCTTTGTTTTTTTTCATACTGATAATGCATCTTAATTTTTCTATTAGTTTTTCACTTAGTTTTTGTAAGCCGCGGCGATTTTTAGTATAAGATGACAAAATAGTGCGTCATTATTTAAAAAAACCAAACGCTTTGGTCAAAACTCATACCGTGTGCATTATCTTTATTTAAAAAGGCAGACTAAATTTTTTACATAAAAACACCTGATTTGGCGTTCTTTGTTTTCAGCATCATTTTATTACCTATTCTAAAAGTATCAAGAATACAATTTTAATTTTTTTACAAAGATATTCAAAAATATGAAGCAAAAAATAAGAAGACAATCAATGCTAGGTGAAACATTAAAAAAATGTCATCATCAGATTCCCGAATTGACAAACTGAATTCAAACAAATTTTCGTTGATGGAAAGATACTTATTTATCATACAAATCCATATAATTTTTTAGTGTGAAATTTATGTATGTTTGAAATGTATGATTTTTTTCATTGAGGGACTTGTAAGACTAGGAATTTTGTAAATATCAAAAAATGATAAAACTATTTTTGCCAATTATTTTGATAATTGCTCACTTGGTTTGAATTTGCATTTTATACGTTATTTTTAATGTAATTTATTGATTATCTTAAATCAAAGTCATTCATGGAAAAATGTTAATCATACAATTTTTGTTCGGACCTTTTGAAAAATGCGGACGAACTTTGTATTCGGGTGTTTTAGTTTCTTTGTTTCGTTTTCCGCTCAAAATCAGATACCGCAAATAATCATAAGAAAGGGTGGAGTGATATATCAAAATAAAGCTCTTTCAGTTGTAATTCCAACAACCTTGGAAAATTTCAAAAAAAAAATTCTTGAGAAAGACTGGCTTAAAGTTTTTGATTTTTGGTCTAATTTTGATCTAATAAGGCGAGCGTGCAGGCTTACAATAGCTTATTTAAGCTCATTTTAAGCTGTAAAAGTTTAGTTTCACTCAATTAAAGCTAGTTTTTGTAGTTTTTAGCGACATTTTTTTTGGGATTCAAAAACCTTTGCAAAAAAATGCAAATTTTTGAAAATTGTTGAAATTTTTAAAAGTATTTAAAACCATTTTTTTCTTTTTCTATACTTTTTTTTCAACCAAAATTGTTTTCGAATTGGTTTATTTTATTATGACTGTAGATTATGTAGACTGTAGAACTGCAGGTCCAGTTTTTGTTCAAATTTTTTGTCACACCACGCAGAAAAAACTACATTAAAAAAAGTTTTTTTTTGTCTTTTATAAGACTATGGTCGGAATATTCTGTGGGACTTGTAGAGTAACCGGCTATCCGATATGGAATTGGAAGATAAACACATTCCGGACGCCTGCGTCCATGGAGACCAACCCGGTTTGGTATTTGATGAAATATCGTCATTGATATCTAATGAATTGGGATATGTGGTGCTGATATGAGCTTATTTGTTCTTATTAGTTAGGGTCTAAGCAAAAAGAAATGTACAGCAAAAATTACTTTATATCTTCTAAATAGCATTCAACACTACTCAAAAACATCTCATTTTAAAACAATCTCATTTGAAACATCTCACTTTGATATCAAAAAATCTGTCATTTGAAACAATAACTGCAATAAGATCACTAGCAACAATGCGAACCTCTAAACATTATCATTACTGCTCAATCCGTGCCAAATTGATCATTGATTTGTACAAACCATTTGTTTGCTTGGGTTAATTATTCTTTTAATAGTCGCATTACTTAAAATAATTTCGACTTTGCAATTATCACCCAAATAAAACAAGATTTCCGAATTGATGACAATACGCATTCAACTTTTCTAAAATAGGTCTGAATCAAAAACCAGCCCGGGCATATATAGCATTCACTTTTTTCGAAAGTCGCAACAACAAGGATAGCCGATTGCTGTGCGGGAGTGCAGAATGTTTCGACCAAGCTGACTTAAAAAAAAAACACGTTCAAACATTTAGAAAAAACAACTTAAAAACTGAATAAATAAAAAACAGCTTTGGTTTTTAATTGATCTGAGTTTTTTGTCTAAAACTTCCATTCGCTTGTTTTCTGGAAATGGCAAAGGAACCAGGTGAAAACAGAGAAAGATTGGCAAGCAAAAAAATAACTTTAAAAATGAAGAAGGGTTACACGAGAGTCCAGTATGTCAGTTGTGAAGTTTGCGTCATGTAGTGCCTTAAACCAATAAAATCAGACACCTGGGTTGAACTCCATAGACCGAAAAGGCTAACCATACAATTCCATGAATTAAGTCTATGAAAAAACTGATTTCATACACTTTGAACAAATGAAGTCATCGAATTTTCAAAGAGGTTCCTCTTGGCATGAAATTTGGTCTACCATCATTAAAAAAAAGAAATAGTTTTCGATAAAAAAGCTTATCATGCCATTTCCATTTATGGACCTTCTATGACTAGCGTTTTTTTGATGGCGACAGGAAAAATTTTCAAAGTAGTATCGAAGTTGCCCATTCTAAGTAGTATCAAAGTTTTTTTTTCTCAATTAAATTCACTTTTAAAAAAAAACACTTTTAAAAATTTGGGCAAAATTTTAAAAGTTTGATAGTTTCATTGTATTAATGGCGTAAAGCTGAATTAAAGTGGATTGTGTGATTAGCATTTACCAAAAATTCGAAATGGTGTGAGACAAAACTAAGACACCTCAGGCCGTTTCTGATGCATTGTAATTGCGAGACGGTCAAACCATTGGTGTCTCTGCTTTTGAGTAACCAAGGTCTTTGCCACTTGCGTTCGGTTACAAAAACAAACCAAAATTTTTGAGAATTTAAAATAAAAAAAAATCAAATTTTTTGGTTTGTGGAATAATGCTAGTCATTAAATTCCCAAAAAACGACTGATCTTAGACATTTCAGGCAATTTTCTGAACTTATGGGATTGCATAAAATATGCTTGATTAGCATTTTTCCATAAATAAAAATTGTATGATTGGCACTTTTGCTTGTGTTTTTGATTTTTCAAATTCGATTCACGACTTATAGGTATTTAGTATGATATCATACTTTCCTGAAATGGTCAGAAACAAAGTCAGTCGATCTAGTTATAACGTGGTAATTTTTCTTCAAAGAGCGTATGAGATTTTCAAAATCTTATGCATGTGGAAAAAATGTTGACAAAAATGTACCAAAACTCAAAAACAGTGAGAAGTTCTAAATTCTAATTTTAACATATACAAGATACGATTTCAAAAAAATTCCTTCACGATACTTTTATCCACACTGTGTCATTACTTAAGCGTAAACTCGGCATTTTTATTCCAAGTTTACAGCAGAAAAATTGCTTGGTGAAACTTTTCTCCATATATAGAACGGTTTATAAAGCTAACAGTTGAGAAATTGTTGTCTAAATAGTCCAAAAATATATTTTTTCATTTTTTTTAAAACGCATAAGGAGATACTTGAATAATTCTGACTGTATAATGATGCAATCAGTCCATTTTTAAATTTGCGCAAATGATACTTCAGAGTGTTATAAGTTTGAAGTTATTTTGCCTTTTAACTGCTTGAAATTAATTTTTTTTCGCAAAGTATTCAAAACAAAAATGATCTGCGAGATGGCAAGTTCTGTGTTTCCATTGTTTCAGTTTTCAATGGGTTTGCAAAGTTAATTATTTGCAAATTGAAATAAAGATAACCTGTTCCTGTTGAAAAAATGTTTCGACCTTTTTTTCTTTTTTGTACAAGACAAGAGTTTTATTTTTTTTTCGGAAATCATTATTGTCAATTAAAAGCTGAAAAGTACATTCAAAATTAGTCTAATTATTAGTTAAGTTAAGTTTTGTGAGCCTAAAACAAAAATAAATTTTTTCGATAGTTTTTCGTAACGCTGGGAGATTTTTTTTGGAATTTTTATTTTAAAATATTGTTCGAACCCAAGACTGACAGGGGTTTAATATGATATGCCGATCAACTCTCGCCGAGGATTATTTGTGGGAGCTGGTTTTGTGCACAAAACAAAAAAAGCAACAAAAAAGAAAACAACCAAAACACACCCGAATAAACGTTCCTCCCCATTTTCAATGATCGCAACAACAAGACTATTCGTATCCAGATTTTCTGCTCGTATTGTACTTTTTTGCGGTCAATGATTTAGTGTTTGCATAAAACAAACAGACGCAATTTTTGAAAAAAAAAAAACAAATTTCCAAAAAAAAATTGTGAACATTTTTGAAAATCAGCATCTAAAACGCTATGTAAAGAACGCAGTGAAAATATTTACAAGTACCAACGTATTCAATATATCATCACTCAAATCAATTTGGAACAAAAATTCAGATATCTTATCAAAATTTGCCCGCAACTAAGAAAAATGAAAAGAAGTCAATCACAATGGAGTTTCGTGGTCTAAAAAATTGTCAATGTAATCGATTTCCATGTTGAATTCAGACAACAATGGGATCTAAACAATCATTTATAAACCAACGTTTTTATCAAAGTTAACGTTAAATATAATCCATTCAAAACCACATAAAGTTTTTTTTCACTACATTTTTGTTCGTGAGACGAAAATTCGTAACAGGTGACAACTGGTAATAAGCGACAATTCGTAACAGTAGAATAAGCGGGGAACACTGATTCACGCGCAATATTCATCTCGTGCCGGATGTAAGCGCAGCGGAGCAAGCGTATTCTGCTTGCCAATGCCTTCTTATGAAATTTCCCTCATTACGAATTGTCACCTGTTATAAACTCTCGCCTGTTGTGAATTGTCGCCCTACCCTTTTTGTTTCGCGTCGTGTAAAGTTTTAATGAATAATGCGGAAATTTTGCAAAACGA